TTGGAAGTTGGAATGTTCAATTTTGTTGGTGAATTCAAGAATGAATGGAGATGGCTAGAAGCCTAGAACATGTTTTATTTGATATGGTCATATGGGCAATGAAGTCTTTTATTTTAGCTTTTTAGAATGGTTTGGAACTTGAGAATTGGAATATTCCATCTTGTTGGTGAATTCAAGAATGGATGGAGAACATGTTTTATGGATTTTGTTTGTCTTATTCAGATTATTTTTTTATGACTTTGGAGGAATATGAACTTGAAGTTATATGAATTTAGTTTTAGTGTGTAATTCTATTTGTAGGAATATGAACATATATGATTTGCTCTTATGTGTTTTATTTCAAGTTTGCCTTGGTTGTATAGAAACAACCAAACAACAGGGAATGTATTAAACAACCTTAAAGAAGGTTGTTGATTCACTTGATTGTAAAAAAAAAAGAATGAAATTAAAATGGGTTATGTGATTTCCATTTGAATAAATTTTTTGATTTAAGAATGTAAAATTGTGTTTATTTAAATAGGGGAAAAACATCTGAATTAAAATAGATAATGTAGGGAAAAAATTTAATTTCTTTTATTATGTCGGTCTTCGGGCTTTTTATCAGGGCCGGGCTCGGGCTCGGGCCTATTATTTTTCCGTTAATGAACACTAAAAGCCTGGCCCGACCCGGCCCATGAATAGGTCTACTTGTGACAATGGCATGCGAGAATAGGAGAGGTCGACGGCTGGTGAAATACTGACTTGGAACAGGAAATAACCGTTCTGCAAAAAAAAAAAAAAGTCGTTATTGGAAGAAAACAACAAGATTTATACGGTCGTTGGCAGTCTTACCGGCGATAACGGCAGTAGCATGCGATAATAGGATAGATCTGTGTGCAAACAATATTGGCACAAATTTTCCTCATGGGCAAATGAGCGGTTAGGGTTTCTGGACTGGAGTTGGTTTTATTGTGATTTTTGATGGTTTGCAAAAATCACATCAGCTTCCACATCAACTTCCACATTGATGCCACATAGGATCTGCGTTTCAAGAAATGCCAGGCCATTGGAGGAAGTAAGAATTTGTTGCTTCCCGTATCGGCTCTACACACAAAATTCGAGGCAATTATATTTTTTTGAACCAAATAGTGGTTCAACCCTTAATAAACACCCATGCCAAACTGGTATAGACATGCCAATGCTTTTTAAAAAAATGCCCACAGAACCAAACATACCTTGAATGTCAACCATTGAAAGTTCACCAACAAGTTTATGAACATAAGAGAAACATCAACTACTAAAAACAATTAATTATTTATGGCTAATCATAATGGA